TAAATGTAAGAAAATACACACATATTTATGCATTCCTATTCGCGAGTTTCTATGCGGTGTGACTAATCTTAAGAGCAGATAGTATGTCGCCAAAGTGGAGGAAAGTTTCAGACTTAGAGGAATAACAGATGAAGCGGAAATCTTCTAGGGAGCGCATCAGGTAAAATGTCTAAAGAGGTTTCGTATCTTGCACTGGAAAATCTGTTCCACTTTTGTTTACTTTATCGCTTATATCTCCAATGCGTTACATTAAAATCTCCTTAAACTTGATAACCTGATTCCAACGTGATTATTTCGCGAAATAATGATTTTACCCGGTTTCAATCGTTAACGAGATATGCATATAATTCAAAAAATTACGATTGTAAATTTTTTGTTCAATAAGAACTATTACACAAATTTGTATAAATCTCTCTATCAAATTCTCAATCATCCTCAAATTCGTGATAATTTATACGCAAGAATTATAAGAAAATTAATTATCAAGATTTTTTGAGTATTGTTATTTTTATAGCTTTGTAGTTCAATTTTTGTAAAATTTTTTATTTTGCAGTTGTAGCTTGGAGTCAAATTATATATAAAAAAAAAAAAGACGACCCGTATTTTTATTTCAAACAGAGAGAGTTTACATCCTCGTGTCTCTGGCATAGAAAGAAATGTTAGATACACATAATCGATGCCTATTAAATAAATAAATAAAGAATCTCAAAGAATTTTATTATGTTGCAATTATTAGAAACAAAGCGAAATTGTGGTATACCATTATATCAATCGGTTAACGCGTGTTTCTTTTCATATTTTCCTCTTCTTTCTCTCTTTCCCCCTATTTTTTTAATAAATTCTCAACACGCGACACTTTATCACGCGTCGAAACCATATATATTTCGAGTTGTAGCGTGACGCACAGAGAAACGCTTCTACACCCTTCGTGATAAATCACCAGAGGAAGAGAGAGACAGAAAGAGAGGGCACCGTCGTAAATTCTCAAGTCTCTCCCGCCTTTTAAACGTTGAAAAAAATAAACCAAAGCTTTCCAAGATTCTCACTTAACTTCGGATCATTCGACGATCTTAAAACACTCGACAGGATAAAAGATTCTATTAAGATATTTTTAATTTTGGAGATGATTGTCCATGATTTAACAAGAGTTAATACGTACAATAATTGAAAAGTTTGAATTGGAAACGTCGAGAGAATCGAATCAAGAATTGTTTTCTCAATTCATTGTAATCGAAACACAAGTAAGTATACGCAAAAATATACGATTCTAACGCTTAATTGTATGTCTCGGCGATCATTCGCATTTATTACGTGGAACAACATTGTACAACAACAAGCTATTTATACATGTTTTCCTATCGCGAAACAAAGAATAGAACTTTCTTAATAATACTTTGCTTCAAAAATTTGTTCCAATTACAAATAAAATCATCTGAGACGATAACAATTATTCTAATTTCAGAATAAACGTTATTTTAATCGGATACTTTCATCGCACAACAAAAGGAAAATGGCGAAATTCATCGTTGAAAAGAAGGGTGGAGGGATCAATCAAGTAAACGGAAAATCCCTTGCTAAGGGAAATAAAACTTAGGAGGTCGTGGAAAAAAAGTTTGATATCTTTTTTCTTGTCCTTCCCTTTCTGAAATGGTTCGAAAATCGTGAACCAATATCAGCCGTGGAAGAAACGTTGAATTATTCAAACCGAAGGCGAGGAAAATGTTTTGATTATGCCGGGCCACGCACACGTGTGCACGGATTCCCTGCGCGCTGGCCACGGCCGAAATTAGTTGGATATCCGAATAATTAACGAAAATAGCAGAGACGAGATGGTTTTGCGCGCGTCTCTATTATAAAAGTGAATGCGTAGAGTTATGCGTCGAGTCGAATGAGAACGATAATGCTTGCAAATTGGATTTTTCCATCGCGCAGAGAGATTAATCTCTAGTATGAAATTAGATTTTAGATAGAGGAAGGGAAGAAAAAGTGTTTTTCGAAATGTCGAGATTCGATTCTTTAACGAAGCCAGATTTTTTAAAACGAAAACGAAAGTGAGGATCTCTGGGGGATTCCGTGAAAGAAAATTTTATAATAGTTGTTTCAAATCTTTATTGAATAGAGAGTTCTGAAAACGAAGTTTGATTTAGAAGAAAAGAAAGCACCGATTATTAGAAACGATTAAAGAAGATTGTACGTTTCAAAATTTTGAATATCTATTAAAAGCAAAACTTTAAAAAAATTAAAATTTATCCATAGAAAGGAAACTTGGAAGGTGATTTATAAAAGATAAACGTGTATTGATTGTTTTGCAAGATGCGAATTAAAGAATAATAATATACTCTTAAAAATAACGACGAAATAAATTATTCTCACAGAATCTGATTTGTTCTTTGAAAACCGATCTGACGAACGATTCGATTGATCAACTTTTTTAAATTACGTGGATCTCGTTGAAGTTGAAAAGTTTCGAGATACTGGGATCGCAGAAGGTCTAGAAATAGATTGCCGTTTCTGTAGTTCTGAATGGGATAAAGCTGTAAAAGCTGTCAGCTCAAAATAAAAATTGATTTTACGATTAAGAAATTAATATCATTTTATGTTATTACTATACACACTATATACACTAAAGACAGCCATATTTTAATCATCCACTTGTATTTCATCATTTAAATATTTAAATTTAATAAAGTCGAATTTTTCTTTTCACGCGAATGATGATTCGCGAGATGCACTTCTTGGTCAAACTAACATGGTCGATATTTTAAATAATTAAAAAAAAGGATATCTTCTTGGCTGCGTGTTTGTTGGATTTAAAACATTTAAGAAACAAGTTATCCTATTACGAAATACGTTTTCTATTTCTATCTATAATTGCATTCAACATTTGAATACATATTTTTCCGTATATAATTCATCTAATTGCAAAAGTAAAAAAGATTGCAATAAAAATATTTCTAGAAAATCAAATCTTTGGCTTCGATATTTCAGAACGAAAATTATTCGGAATACAATGGCATGATATATTTTCACATACTCGAAAACAAATGGGAAATCGACTGAGCGTGTTTACACACGCGGACAATATTCTAAATCAGCCAATTCTAATTGCGAATTCGTGGTGCTGCCATTCAAATTAAATTCGCTCTGTTTTCGTGGCTGGAAACATGTGTTAGAGTCAGGAACAACCATCGAAAACGATCGCGTTCGTCACGAATCGTCCTTGCAATTTGTATAGATAAACGGAATCGTTCGTAACATGACCAGCTTCGAGAAAATTCGATTGAACAAGAAATTTTTCATTTTAACGAATATTAAATTGATGAGAAGGAAAATAGCACTGAAATTGAAAAGAGAAAGAATCGATAGATTCATTCTTAATATGAAACGATCCATAACCTTTAATATATATATATATATATATATATATTAAAGAAAATTTGAATTAAAAATATTTATTTTTACTTTTAGATACATATAATCGATTGATTATGATTTAAAGAGAAGAAAGAGAATAATAAAGTATTCCAAATTGAATCGAGCAGGTGACATTGTGTAACGCGTGCTCTACGCGTGCTCTACGCTCCATGTTTATCGACCGTACCACAAACTCTTCCAAAAAGATACGGGGTGTGGTCAGAAAATTTCCTTTTTTCCTATATTACACGATTCATGATCAAAGAAAATTTCGTGACTATGAGTCGAGGTTATTCGAGATCACGAATGATACGACATGAACGATATTGATATTCTATTGAGACTATCTATGAAATGTCAAAACTCTCCTAACCTAGAAAAAATCGCATGACGTTTTAACTTATTTCCCGATAATTAAAATTTTATTAAGAAACTATCGAAACTAACGTTTAATAAAAATGATTTAATAAATAATAATAACACATTTCAAGAACATTATTGTAATGTGATTAAAAACTATAAATATTAATAAAAACAATATTGAAATGTGACTTCCCTGCTATAACATCGAACGAATAAACCGTATTATAGAAATAGACGATCGAAGAGAAGGAAACAAAGTGCTGGCGAGATCTAGTGACTTTTAGGAACAACGTCATACAAGACTGCAACCACCTGCCGTGGTTACATAGGTGAACACGAGAGAATATCGTTGAACAATAAAAAGAAAGCAGCCGATCGAATAAGGACATACAAGCGAAAGAGAAGAAAGAAAAAGAGGTGAACGAATGAAAAAAAGAGAAATCACGAAAAAAATGAAGAGAGAAAAGGAGCAAGAGTGTGAGAAAGAGGTCGAAGGAGGGGGATAAAGGTAAAAAGCGGCGCGACGACATCGTATTGATTTGATGACAGATCCGCGTACGATGCGGATGCCTCGTTTTCGACGGTGAGACCACCACGACGGCACAAGGCACGATAGCAAGCGCCCTGACGCTTTATATATAGAGCCTGAGCCACAAGCAGACAGGCCGTGCTTAAATATAGACGAAATGCAACGGGGTGTCTCCCGCGTGCGAGCAAGGGACATGAAATAACGAGATAAAGAAGGACGGGCAGAAAGAGAATGATAAACGGACGACAGTGGAAGTAGGAAAAAGCCAAAGAAGAAAGAGACCCTGCGTACGTAGAGAATAATCATGGCCGACAACACGGCGTCGTCTGCTAGTAAAATCGCGCTCTAAACTGATCGTCACTCGCGTGTTCATCTAAGTATCACACAACGAACGCTACCATTGATCAATGACACGAGATACATCACGATATGCGAAATACGTATTACGATATAGGTTCGTGTGGAATAAAAATCAAGATGAATTAAGAAATAAAAGTATATAAGTAAGAGAAAGAAAGAGAGGATGAAAAGACAAGAAAGACAAAAAGATACGAAGTGTGTATACACGAAGTAGAGAAACGAAGCAAACGTGACACGCGGTAACGTTAAACCAAATTCTCATTGTCTCTCTTTCTTCATCTTCGATTCACATTCGTTACTTTTAAATATTATGAATGTTTTTTTTTGTACTTACTTGCCCAGTTCCTCTTTGAGCTCGTAATTGTCACTAAACCGCGTGCAAGCGGTCGGAGTAGCCATGCCGAGGTATCGCGATTATTTACCGCACTAACCGAGGAACGTAAGCGCGAGAGCCACTGTCGGCCGCCACTACTGCACACGCTAGGGGAAACTTCGCAGGTCAAATTCGATCAATAGAGGGGAACTGCCGCGGCGCTGGTAGAACACCGGGTAACCGACGGGAGGGAGGGTCGTCGGGCCGGGCAGAGGGGAAATGGTTTTGTCCGCGGGAGCCGTGCGTTACCGTGGCACCGACGGTGGGGCAAATCGCGGTCGTGCCAGCAAATACTTGCGAGCAACGATGACTAAATCCTTCCACGACGCGTCCGCACTGCTCGCCGGCAGACTGTCGACTGACTCGCGTAGTGGTGGTAGCTCGCGATGGCGCAGGCGATGTTCACAGTGCCGCTACCGCCGGCAATGGCGACCACGACTACGTATATATCTGGTAACGACGATCAACAATGATACCACTGCTGGCAGGGCTGACGATAGAGCTTCGCTAGCAAGCCGTTCGAGCGCAGCCAACCTAGGTGAAATAACCCAAGGGGATCGAGGCAACACATTTAAATTTAGCACCTGGAATTATGCTCGATCACGCGACTAACTTTTTAAGATCACGCTTCACGGTATAATTTACTTCTAATCCGTTATTTTCTCTCTCTCTCTCTCTCTCTCTCTCTCTCTCTCTACTACACAC